CAGGTATGCATCACCACACCAGGGGTGTGTGTGTGTGTGTGTGTGTGTGTGTGTGTGTGTGTGGTGGGGTCTGGCCAAGTTTCTAAAGTCCCTCTTGGTTCTCTCTTTTCCAGGCCCGATCACTTGAATGGACATATCAAGCAGGTGCACACTTCTGAGCGGCCTCACAAGTGTCAGGTAGGGGTTGGGCCAGGGCAGAGATGGGCTGAAGGAGAAAGCTGCTGTTCTCACAGCCACAGCCATGAGTGAGCTGGTGTGTGTGCCAAGGGCCCGGCTGACTGACCACCGCTTTGCACACCCTCCTGCTGTCCCTCTGCTCTCCTTTTTTGTTCGTCACCCCAGTCCCCCTCCCCCCACAGCTGACATTCCCTCCTTCCCAGTTGCTTGGTCCTGGTTCCCACTCTGTCTTCGTCTTCACTCTGTTGCTTGGCTGTCCTCTCCTGGTGTCTGCCGGCTCCTTGGATGGCGGGCCACATTGCACAAATGTTGTGTTTGGGGATCTGGCACTTCGCTGGGCCTGGTTGCTGTTTGTAGGGACTGCACAGTTTTAAAAAGGGCTCATGGTGGTCCAGCCAATAACTCTTCCCCTGTCTGACCAGGGGAGTTAGACCTCCTCCTGGGTCCCCTCAGGTTAGGGCATAAGGCAGCAGGAGAGACAGGAAGTAGGGAGTGGGTGGTCTTATCTCCTGATACTGGTACTTGTTTAACCTATCCTGAGCCAGGGTTTCTGGAGGACTGGAGAACAAGGTGGTCTCTTCTCTTGAGCCTTCTGTATATTAGCAGGTAGGGAAGGCTGGACCAGATTCTCACCCTTGGTTTGTCTGTGGGACAATATCTGGAGGCCCTGCTGGCACCCAGAAATTGAGTTTCCTCTCCCAGCCACTGAGCTTTCCTGTGTGGACGGAAAACATGCCTCTCGGTTTTCCTTGGTTATTGCCCCTCTCCCATGCTGCGTTCCTGCCAACTAAGGGCTAGACACAGCTGTGAGACACTCGCTACGACCTCTGATAGGATCACCTGCTTTTCTTTCTCCTGTTGGTAGCAAGGGGGGAGGACTCAGGAAGACCCGTAGGAAGGGATGGCTGTGCTGTAGGCAGGACAGAGAGTCCCTAGAGGCCAGGTGTGAATGGTGTTCAAGATGCTAGGCTAGGTGGCCTCCCTGGAGGAGGATGACCCAGGGTGGGCCTGCTGGGATCTGTCTTTGCCTTGCTGCCTTCTCTCTCTCTGTCTCTGATTCTCTCATCACAGAGCACATTCTGACCCTCCTAGGTAGTGTGCTGAACAGCCTGGGCAGAGTAGGAGGAGCCCAAAGGGCAGTGGGGGCATGCCCGGTGGCCTGGGGGGGTAACCTGCACTCTCTGCCCTTTTTCCAGGTGTGGGTTGGGAGCAGCAGCGGCCTGCCGCCCCTGGAACCTCTTCCTAGCGACCTGCCATCATGGGACTTTGCCCAGCCTGCTTTGTGGAGGTCGTCCCATTCGGTTCCTGACACCGCCTTTTCCCTTTCTCTAAAAAAATCATTCCCAGCCCTTGAAAACCTGGGCCCAGCACACTCCAGCAACGCTCTCTTCTGCCCAGCCCCGCCAGGATATCTGAGGCAGGGCTGGACCGCTCCAGAGGGCAGCAGGGCCTTTACCCAGTGGCCTGTAAGCTAACCAGGGCCTCCCTGGAGAGGGTTTACCGTGGAGGGGAATGGGAGTAGCAGTTGGCCTGAGACCCTTGCTTTCGGGACAGGCCAGCAAGGTGGTTCTTGCCCACCGTGCCCCAGCTCCCCTCGGCTGACTTGGAGTCTTTCCCAGCTCAAGGCCCCCAAGTGAGGGTAGCAAGAAACACCTTCCTGGGTACCCCCACAGCCTCCGAGTTTCTTCCTGGGTTCTCTTGCCTTGTTTCCCCCCTTTAACAGATGGTACCCCTGGGCGTCTGTCCTTGCCTAGGTAATTTTGGAGGTTTGTGCTTTCCCGGGAACTAAGCCACCAGCTTATCTACTTCCCCTCCCCTGGCATTGCTTCCCATAAGGCATAGGGTTTCTAGAGTGGGGCTTGGCCACCCCTCCCCCCGCTCTGGGAGTGAATCTGCCTACAGAGAAGACTGGCACCACTCCAATAGGGTCAACCCTTGCTGCCCTCTTCCCTTCCTGCTCAGATGGGTCCTGCTTTCATTTCTTGCTAGTGTAGTAGACTCTTATGTTTTTTGAGGCTTATTAGCAGCTTTGCTCAGGAACTTAACTAACAAGTAGCTTTATATTGGGCCACCCCAATGTATGACTTTGGGGGCTGATAAAGCAGGTGTAGACCCCCCCCTTGGATCCCACTGGTGTGCCCTTTAGCCCCCGCAGGCTCCGCGGGGAGAACAGGAGTGATGATAAAAGTTTTCATTCTAACATTTGAGGCTTTGTGTGTTTTGTCCTTGGTCTGTCATAACACTGACATCATTGTTCCCTGGTGTATGGGCCTGCTCCTGCTCTGCCCTTCCGACACACACTCTACAGGCCCCACCTCCGACCCTGTAGACAGAACCCCCCTAACAAGACCCAGCCGGGGAAGGCATGCGGGCTCTTGTGTTCTGGGATGACCAACCAAGTGTGCTGGGGCTTGGTTAACCAGCAGGGGCATCTGTTGGGCATGGTGTGGGATGCGGAAAGCATCAGAGGTGAAAAGACAGCTCTCTGGGATGGCTCTCTTGTGCCTTTGGTTGGCTGGGCACAGTCCATACCTCCCATTCCCTCCTGATGCTGCAGAAGATGAAAGAGGACACTTACAGAGACTGGTGCCACAGCTTGAGTGGAAAGGCCATCTGAATAGAGGGGCGGGAAGCCTCAGATCTGGCAGTGACACACGGTCTTCCTAGGACTTGACCTGAGTATCCTTAACTGGCCCAGATGCCCCAGGTGCTGCTGGATTTGTGAGCTCAGTGGGCTGGGACATTTTTCCCACATGGAGTTCAGCCTGAAGCTGAGGCTGGAACAGCTGGGTCCTCTCCCCTTTGCTTCCACTGGTTCCACTACTCAGGAACTGGCTAGAGAAGGAATGAGTTGAAGTGGGCATACACACCAGAAAAGCAGGCCTGAGAAAGCCGGTGCAGGAGCTGGACCTTCATGCATTGCTCTTAGACTTTTCCAGGGCTATGGGAGAAGGCCGCTCAAGACACCCCCTGAGGCTGCCGGAGTTCAAAGGCCACCAAGGGTGGGAGTTTACACTAGCGTCCTTGGTACCATTGGGCCCCATTCCCAAGTTGCTCAACCCTTGGGAAGAAAAATATGAGGAAGTCTGGGAGGGGAGCATGACGGGGATTCGGTATTGAGTAGTGATGACCAGAGATGATGACCTAAGGTCATGGTGACTGGGCCGGGACCTGGCAGACTCGCCTTCTAACAGTAGCAGGTTGCCTAAGTGCAGGGATGTGGGCAGGGCAGTTGTTCCCAGCACTACAGGCAATCAGCATTCTGCTGCTGGCTCACTCTCTTCCCATCAGGGTCCCTCTGTCTTCTCCCTGTTTCCAGGACAGAAAGTACTTTTCTTCTGCGTTGTCCCAGCCTGGAGGTTCTGGATGTCCCCTTCTTTGAAATCTTCTCTCCCTCAGCCACTTCTCTTTTTTCTGGGTCTCATGAGCATACTCTTTCATGTTCTGTGTTGTCTGAACTTCTGGCAGGGCTGGACTTGGATTCGTTACGCTTTCACCACTTCCCCAGAAAAACCTGGGGACTCCAGCTACAGAGGTTCAATCCTGGCGCAGAGAAGCCAACAATCACTTCAGCTTGGCTTTGTAACACAGTGAAAGCTTTTGTTGTGTTTGTGCTTTTTTCCCCCCCAGCAGCAGATTTACATTCCTAATTATGTTTGCTCAGGCTAAAGTTAGCTTTCATTCCTTGAGAGATAATCAATGGAGAACGGGGTGGGGGAAGCCAGCCTGGTCCAGGATTTTAATTTTGCTTAGCTAATCCCCAAATGGATAATCCACTTGTGGATAATTGAGGTTTGGCTGTCCATCATCTTTAGGTGGCAAAGCCTTTGGAAGACAGATCCCAAAAGAAGGTTGGAAGAGAAACAAGGCATCTCTTTCATATCCCTCTGGTGGCTCCCTCTCCCTGGGACTGTGGGAAACAGAATCCTGAATGTGTGCTTTCAGTTCCATTTTCTTACACCTGGTTCATGTTGGTTCCTTTGAGTTCTGAGACTTCGAGCACATCCCTCTCATCACTGGAGGGTGGTCCTCGGGTCACTGTCTGGCAAAGCCAGCTCTTGTCCCCAGATAAATCAACAGGTGCACTTCTCTTTTCCTGATGGTGTTTGTGGCAACCCTTGCTTTGGTTTACAGGCTGGGAAGATTCTGAGTTTTCTTCTCCCAATGTGGTCTATCATTGGGTCACAAGGTCCCTGATAGAGGTGGGGCCCACCTGTGGCCATGAGAGCAAGAGTTCATATTGCTCTCTGAGTCCCCTAAGTGTTGGAATTTTCCTGCACAGATCCTATCACCTTTTCCTATCAGGGGAGTCCTGGCTTCCAAGTACCATACACCATGTTAAAAAGTATCAACACCTTTCCCTCACCAGAAGCTACTTCTACTGAATCGAGATGGACAGGCTTGGAGGCTGTTTCACATGCCACTTGCCCCATGTCCTCTCAGAGCCTCTGTTTGCCCAACTGTAAACTGGGAAAGATAAGAATACCTAAGGGAGGTCAGGAGGGCTGGTGGAGTACTGGCTGACTATGCTAGACTTTCTCTAGTAGCTGAGGCTTGTCTTTGAGCAAGTTTATTTTCTTTTCTCTCTCTCTCTCTTTTTTTGAGTTGGAGTCCCATTCTGTTGCCCAGGCTGGAGTGCAGTGGCACGTTCACGGCCACCCCAGTGTTGACCTGCTGGGCTCCGGAGATCCTTCTGCCTCGGCCTTCCAAGTAGCTGGAACTACAGGCACGCGCTACCACGCCTGGCTAATTTTTTGATTTATTGTAGAGACGAGATCTCACCAAGTTGCCTGGGCTGGTGTCGAACCCACGGGCTTAGGCAGTCCACTCACCTCAACCTCCCAAAGTGCTGGGATTACAGGCTGAGCCACCAAGCCCAGCCCTTTTTTTTTTTTTTTTTTTTTTTGCTGTGGGTTGGAGTCTCACTATGTTGCTCAGGCTGGAGTGCAGTGGCACACTCAATAGCTATTGGAGACTCGACCTGCCAGGTTCAGGTGATCCTTCTGCCTCAGCTTCCGGAATAGCTGGACCACAGGGGCACACCACCATGTGAGCTAATTTTTTAATTTGTTACAGAGATGAAATCTTGCCAAGTTGCCTGGGCAGGTCTCTAACCCCTGGGCTCAGGCAGTCTTCTCACCTCTGCCTCCCAAAATGTTGGGATGACAAGTGTGAGCCACTGTGCCCGGCTGGACAAGTTTGCTTTCTTTTTTCTTTTTTTTTTTTTTTGAGTTGGAGTCTCACTCTGTTGCCCAGACTGGAGTGCAGTGGCTGCTCGATCCTTCCACCTCAGCCTTCCAAGTAACCGGAATTACAGGCATGCGCTACCACGCCCGGCTGATTTTTTGATTTATTGTAGAGATGAGGTCTCACTGCCCAAGTGGGTCTTGAACTCGCGGGCTCAGGCAATCTACTCACCTCAGCCTCCCAAAGGCGTGGGATTACAGGCTGAGCCACCGAGCTGGCTGTAAATTTGCTTTCTAAAATTAGCTTCCTCTTTTTTCATATGAATAAACTGAATACGTAAAACAGATAAAAGCAGTAATTCATTAGCATAAATTGTTCTGTTCAGATTTGTAATGTTTACTTTAAAAGACAATGACTGAGAAGAGCAAGGCCTGTGCTAACACACATTCAGGATTAGGGTAGTAAACAGTGGCATCTTCTACCTCCCTAGCACTGCATGCATTTGTTTCTTGCTTTGAGATCAATACCATTTGTAGGTGGTGACAGTGTTCAGACACTTAACCTTGAGATCTTAGGGTTTCAGGATATGTTTCTGTTAAAGAGACACTGCTGGCTCCATCCTAGCACAAGTTAATGTGATGGCAGATCTTCAGTGGGTTAACATCAATCGGTAACACACTTAAGGTGAATGTTGCATTCTCTTATGTTCTAAAACAGTAAGAGGCAAGAAATGAGTCAGAATTGACTAGAATCCCTGAAACACCTCCATGGAACCAAAATCGCCTGAAAACCAGTGGATTCAACTTAGGGCTTTCCTGGCATTCTGTGACCCCCAAGGCTGGAGGGCCTTTTACAAACCCTAGCTCAGGAAGGGATGTTGGGTGGAGATCAACAGCTGATGCTAATTCAGGTCCTCAGATACAAGAAATGCCTGGTGACCTGGGGCCTCCTTCCCAGGGTCCTGGTGCTGACCTTCAGCTCCTGAGTCATCCGACCCTGGGACCTGGATGTGAGTTGGTGCTCAAGCAGCTCATACCACAGCTTTCCATGGCCATGCCCTCTGGAGGGTGATAACAGGCCTGCCACGGAGGGCTGCTTCAAGGATGGATTGCATGAGATAAATGCCTCTAAAAGGCTATGTGTGGTGCCCGGTTGGCACAGAATGACTGCTCGATCAATGCAGGGTAGTATCAACATCCTTGTTATTACCAGCACTTTTCCAACTTAACATTTCACAAATGCTCTGTGGCCTTTGTTCGCTCTGTTAATTCTCACATTAGCAGAATTGATACGATCCTTTTTTTATGGGCTGCTTTTTTAAAATTCAAACTCACTAAAATATTATGAAGCGTTATCTCTATGCTTTGTCCTGCCTTTCCTTTTCCCTGTGTCTGAAACTAATGTCACTACTGAATAAAGCAATTAAATTAAATTCTTTGTGTAAAGCAACTAGGGGAAACCCAGAGATGGAGAACAGGAAGCCTGGTTGATTTGCCAATAACTCATCTGTAAATTCACTCATAACCAGGGCACCTAAAGTCAATTCTTAATGTTTAAGAATGAGCAAACGTGTAACTCTTCATCTTGTATAGTACAGATCTTAGCTTACTGTGCTCTAGGTATATTTGTGGAAGCCATTTAGAACCAGTGATTCCAACCCAGATGTCCCATGAGGAGGCATCATGGGAAATAAGAGCAGCCACTTGGCATTCTGGGTAGAGAGACTGAGCCAAACTCTAAAGCTCTCACCATGAAGGAAGCCCACGTGATGGCCAGAAACTGCTATTGCTGCATGGTGCACTTGGTGGGGAGTCAGGTGTGGAATGTTGGAGTTCGCCTCACCCTGTTTTCCTTTCTGCCCTCAGACCTGCAATGCTTCTTTTGCCACCCGAGACCGTCTGCGCTCCCATCTGGCCTGTCATGAAGACAAGGTGCCCTGCCAGGTGTGTGGGAAGTACTTGCGGGCAGCATACATGGCAGACCACCTGAAGAAGCACAGCGAGGGGCCCAGCAACTTCTGCAGTATCTGTAACCGAGGTAATCTGCCCACCGTTTCCTCACTTCCAGAGGATGGGCCTGAGCCTGTGTGAGGTCCAGGGGTGTTCTGACCCCTCTGCCTCAGATTCTACTCTTTGCACGGTCCTCCTTTCCCACTGAATGTTAAACACCTCCATTGCCCACCTAGCTGTTTGCCACTCTTTCCTTCCCAAGAATCCAGGAGAGCAGCAGGTGGGAGCCGAAGGAGAGAGGTTATTCCCAAGTTTAGGCCCGAAACTCACCTGCTGCTCAGGTAGCAGGGTGGATGCATTTTGCAGACACCACTGAACTACCAAGGTTGCTGGGAGAGTCATTAAGTCCCAACATGAGAGAAGAAAGGGTTCTGCTTGAGAGTGTTTGCTGGCTGATTCCCTGGCATATACAATTCGGCAGCCAGGAAAGGCGGATAAGTCTGGAAAGAAGAAGGGGCAGAAATTTTCTAGCACAAATAGTCAGAAGAGAGCCCAAACTCAGGTAGATTGTGGCCTTGATGAGAGAAGAAAGCAGAAGGTGCTCTGAGCAGGCAGCATTCTGGAGGATGAGGTGGGCCTAGGTAGTGTCTAACTGTGGCAGTGGTGTCGTGTTGGATGAAGTCAGGCCTGTCCATGAGGTTTTGCTGGGTCTAGTTGGCTGTTGAAAGTGTTGGAGGTTTGTGTTTTGTGAACACCGCATCAGTGGAGGAGGCTCGTGCTCTGTGTTGAAGGAGGTCTGGAACAAGCTGTCTGTGTGAGCATGAGGAGGCTTCTGCATGGTGTGCTTGCTTTGGCCAGGTAAGGACATTGCTGGGATGTCCTTATCTCCTGGGGCACTCTTATCCCAATGCTTCTGGAAGTCTGGGGTGTGGCTTAGTGGGTTGAGCACTGAACTAGGAGTCAAAGGATCCAGGGTTTAGTCCTAGCCCTTCACTATGTGGCTTTGAGTTCTCCCTTCCCCCTCTAAGCTTTAGTTTCTTCATCTCTCAAATGGGGTTTAGAACACCCCCCTTCACTACCTCACAGGGTTGTTGTGAGGATCCCAAGAGACAAGGTATGTGAAAGTCCTCACAGGAGCTGCTCACTTGTGAGGTCCCATCCTTACACTTTGTAACAATATTAGGAAAGACAGTGCTCACTGACACTATGGTTTGGACCAGGCACTATACCCCTGCAGGCACTGGCTAGAATCATTAGGTGCCTATACATGTCTGTGTGCCTTGAGGTTCCCAAGGGAGGGAGATTGCTGAGTAGCTGGGTATCCCTGGTGTCCTGGAACTGCGTTCCTCCCTAGGACTTCACACCTGGAGTTTGTACCGCCAGGACACCTGCTGTGAAAGTGGGGAGGTAGAGCTGGGCCTGGTGGCTCACGCCTGTAATCCCAGCACTCTGGGAGGTAGAGGCAAGAGGTTTGCCTGAGCCCAGGGGTTTGAGACCAGCCTGGGCAACTTGGCAAGACCTCATCTCTACAATAAACCAAAAAATTGGTCGGGTGTGGTGGTGTGTGCCTATAGTTCCAGCTACTTGGAAGGCTGAGGCAGAAGGATTGCTTGAGCCCAGCAGGTTGAGGCTGCAGTGGTTGGGAGCAGCCACTGCACTCCAGCTTGGGCGACAGAGTGAGACTCCAATTCAGAAAAAAAAAAAGTGGGGCGGTAGTAATAAAAGCCTCTTAAGCTGTCTGTTCTGTTTTCTGACATGTTAGTCAAGTTTTAAATGTTGAAGTTCTCAGTCCGAGAACTGGGATCAGAGACCAGAGACAAAACTCAGAAAGTCCAGCCCAGATGCAAGAGTAGGACAAGAACTGGACAGGAGACCCAGAGCCACAGCATTTGGGAGCCCAGCTCAAGAGGAAAGAAGAACTGAGAGCAGCAGGATGGTGGAAAAGTCTGTCCGGTTAGGAGGCAGCTGACATGGCAAAGCCAACAACTATTTTATGTCAGGATTTATTTTCCAAGGGTTGGTAAAGAGAACTTGGGCAACAGCCACAAGCCACATGACTGGATTGGGGGATCCAGAAGCGCAAATCAGTTCACTTTTTCTCAGAAAAGCCAAGACTAGATTTGGATCACAGGCCAGACATCTTTCGGTCCCAGAGTCAGAGCAAGAAGTTCTGTTTCTCTAAGAAGACAAAAGAAGGTGCTGGGCTCATCCACACTGGGTACTCAAAAAGAGAAAGACAACAATTGCAGTTTGTATCTGAAGAGAAGGCACAGGATTCTACTTCTGGACCCATTCTTTGGACAGAAATAGAGATGAAGAAAAGATGAAGAGGATAAGGTTCTTTCCTTCTGGATACCAAAGACATTGAGACATTGGAATCAGAATGCAGAGTGCTCTGTGTCATCCTTTGCCCTGCTGTCTGTCACCAAGGCTAAACTTACGGAAGAAGTTGCACAGATGAATGAATGTTCTTATCTCTGTAAGGGTTTCAAGCAAAGGCTAAATGTCAGCCAGCTGATCAGAATGGTTAAGATTGAATCAGGTGAAATTCCAGGTACCTTGTGAGATCCTTCAGTCCCAACAATTCTTAATCGATCAATTTAATGACATACCTACAAATCTGTCTTTTTCAGACTTTGCCACAAAAATGGCACCTGGCCATGAAGAATGGGAAAGAGAGAAGGCAGTCTGACTGCCATAGCCCCACACTTGAGTCAGATGCAAGCTAATGAGACAGATGACCCCGTCTTTGGCTTAGAAACATATCAGGATGTATATGATGGCATTTGTAGAGGAAGATCATTTGCAGTGGAGGCAATATTATGGCTCAGAAAGCTTGTTCCCTCATTTTTGAACTGAGGAAAGCAGTTGGGTTGAACAGTAGAAAGAAAATTGGCACCCTGGCCCATCACCGTTTTTTTCCTTTAAAATTTCTGTAGCAGGGCCAGGTGCAGTGGCTCATGCCTGTAATTCTACTGACTTGGGAGGCTGAGGTGCAAAATTCGCTTGATGCCAGGAGTTCGAGGCTGCAGTAAACTGTGATTGTGCTACTGCACTCCAGCCTGGACAACAGAGTGAGACCCCAACCCCCCCAAAAAATATATCTGATAAAGGATTTTAAGCGAAATATATAAAGAGCACTTACAACCCAGTGATGAAAAAGACATGGAACCCAATTAAAACATGGACAAAGAATTTGAATAGACTCTAGCCTGGGTGACAGAGCAAGACCCTGACTCCAGAAAAAAAAATTTCTGTAGCAGAGTCTTTGTATATGTCTACATATGTGCTGTTATGGGGAAGAGGGAGAACTTATTGAGGATCTGCCTTTAACAGAGATATTTGGGCTCAAACATCATTGTTTTAAAGGTAGAGGAAAGCTTCTCCTCAGTCAGAAGGTGGGGGCACAAACAGATGATGCACACAGTCTACCATTCCCCTGGACTGACATAAAACTACTTCGGTCTGCTCCAACACAGTGCAGTTGGGGCTGGCCCCTCCAGGCTTTGGAGGGAAAAAGCAGTCCTCAACCCCTGCATGGATGTGGAACCTGCCAAAGGACGATTTAATTGTGGAGTATGAATTGCAGACGCTCCAGGCAAAAAAAGCACAATGGAGGGGCAGTGGCCTTGTGCTAACTAAGTCTTCATCTCTGGAGTAAGAGGAGGGTGGTGTGTTAGTTGTAGTGGCAGTCACATGTGCGCTCAGCATCTCTGTTGCGTGGATGCCTGGATCAAGCTGCCTCTTTGGCTCTTGGTTAATCAGTGGTGAATGGGCGGGTAAGTTTAGAGTTCCAGCTAAATATGTCTGGCTTCAAAGATGTGTTCTGCTCAGAAGTGGAGCTTCTGTTTCATCCCAACTCTTGGCTGCTGAGTTGCTCTGTGTTTCAGTTCTGGGCGTTAAGTGGCAGCTGTGGATCCACTCCTACCACCCCGCCATGTGGTTCTGCTATAGATAGTACAGTCTGCAGCTGGGGTAAAGTCAAGAGGACTCAACCACGTGTTTCTCAGACTGTTTTTCAGGAAACACAGCAAGCTTTTATTGAGCATTTGTTGTATTCCCCGGGTATAGCTCTCACTACAAGGAGTAAATATAGGAATTCCCGGAACTCCCCTTCCTTTCGCATCGCCTTTGGCTGCAATGGACCCGCTCTGGTTACCGTGAAGTTCCATGCTCCTTTCGAGGCCCCACAAGGAATTAAAAACCAAAGGCAAAAATTTCCTTCTAAAGTGGCGCCACCATATTATCAGAAAGTTCTGATATCTTGTGCTGTTTGGCAAGGGTCAGTGTCCTCTGGTTCAGCTTGGTTTTGGGGGACTCCACAGTGCCACCCCAAGGGACAGGGCTAAGAGCCTCTTTCCTATTAGCTTTCCTCATTCCTGACTACAGCCTCCCTCTTAGGAATGTTTACATGAGATCCTCTTGATCCAGCCTGTCCTCCAGTGATTGGTCCCAGACTGACTACTTAGGTCAAAGCTCAGGACAACTCGCTCTACCAGGCAGGGCAGGACACTACCACCTGGTCCAGGTGGGTCTTTGAAGGAGCTTTGTTGGGAAAGGAAGGAAAATTTGCCCGATCCCACATTTCCTTCCAGAACTACCAGCTGCTGCTGTCAAGGAAATATTTGATAAATAAGCTTCCCACAGGCCATCCCTCTGTCTGCCAGCAGCTTCCATTCTAACCCACCAATATGGTAACAAAAGACATGAGCGTAAATGATAATGATGAAACCTACTGCAGGCTGGGTGCAGTGACTCATATGCTTAATCCCTGCACGTTGGGAAACCAAGGCAGGAGGATTGCTTGAGACCAGGAGTTTGAGTCCAGACTGGACAGCATAGCAAGAACTCATCTCTCTAAAAAAAAAAAAAAAAAAAAATCAGCCAGGTGTGGTGACATGCGCCTGTAGTCCCAGCTACTTAGGAGGCTGAGGCAAAAGGATTACCTGAACTCAGGAGGTCGAGGCCATAGTAAGCGGTGATCATGCCACTGTATTCCAACCTGGGTGACAGAATGAGACCTTGACTCAAAAAAAAAAAGGGAGACAAACCTACTGCAAGAGTCCAAGGAATGTTTCTAGGGCTCAGAGTTAGGACATAGGAACCATGAAAGAGTCTGCCCAGTAGCTAAGGGCCAAGTTCTGGTGGCACATGGTCCTGGTAGCTTAGTAGCTGCTGTGCATGTAACCATGTTGCTTAACCTCACCAGCCTCTTGTTTCTTCATCTGGAAAATGGGTGTAATAGTAATTGGCAGCACATGCAGTGTGCTAAGTCCTGGTGCACCATCAGCCCTTGCTCAGGGTAAACCATTATTATAGTTCTAAGCAGCATTCAAAAATGTCATGCCAGCCCAGGGTTTTTAAACAAGTCTTACACAGTCATTACACAATACTCTTCCAGTCTCTGACCCTTTAGCAATGGATCTCACTGTTATCCTGTGGCTGTATAATTTTAAAAGGGAATGTGTCGACTAGATCTGGAGTGGATTAAAGGGACATTGTTAGGGCACTGGCGCCCCAAGTAGACCTTATACTGAAAAGCTTCAGATCCTGCTAAAGGTGCTTTCTGATCCTTTGCCATGGTGGGGTTTGATGGCATGTGTCCTTCCTGTGAAACCCAAGTCAAAATCTTTTCACTGGCCCGCCTGATTCTACATCCTTGGACTCGTGGCTGCTGTGGAAGTTCCCCCAAGATCTGCTCTTCCCAACCTGAGATATCTCATAACTCAAACTGACTGAAGCATCCAGGGTGGGCTGGAATAGCCCCCAGACAGCTGGATTGCCCCTCCCCTCTCCCAAAATAAAGAGAGATCATCCCTGTTTCTCCTGTACATGAACCTGGTGGACGCTCCAAAGTGGAACCAAAGAGACCACCATGAATAAGAGATGACCGTGCTCCTTTAGCGTAACTTCCTATTTTTAATTGCTGAAGGTGAGAAAGTTAGGAAAAGAGTACGTATCCTAACAGGTGGAAGAAGAGGGCTCCCTGAAGGCATTCTTCTGGGATTTCATTCTACCTCCATGTGGTTTGTTGTCCAGTTTCCTTTTACAAGTGTTAAGTGGACATCCTGCTGGCTGGAATTCTGTGGCTGCCCTGGAACCCCACATTCTTGTCTAACCATGTTTCTAACTGTGATCCTGGCAGCTGACCTGGGGCTACGGGACATTCACTCACACCACTTGTTACTGAGGCACCAGGCAAGCCTTGAGGCAGTTGGCCTCTGGCCCAAGCAGGAGCAGGATCTCATGTCATCCCACCAGGTGGCTGGCCTAGGACCCTCACCACAGCCTTGCAGAGTGGGCTCTGCAGAAAAGCCGATTCGTGGACAGTGCCTCCCTCCGACATGGCTCTTGTGGTTGCAGCTGTTTTTGAGCCGAGGAGGGGGCCCCTTCTAGGTGCAGCTGACCTGGGAATGCTAGCCAGAGCAGCCAGAGCGGCCAGAGGAGAGGCGGGGGAAGGAGAGAGGTATCTCTTGCTGGCCGTGGGATCTCATCTCCTTTTGTCTTGTTTAGGTTTCTCCTCTGCCTCCTACTTAAAGGTCCATGTTAAAACCCACCACGGTGTTCCCCTTCCCCAGGTCTCCAGGCACCAGGAGCCCATCCCGAATGGGGGAGCAGCGTTCCACTGCGCCAGGACCTATGGCAACAAAGGCAAGCGACCCCTTGCTCTGCACTTTGCTTCTCTGCGCAGACTGTGTTGTGGGGGCGCTGGGCCGGGCGTGGGGAGGCGGGAAGGCTGCCAGCTTTCTGGCTGCCTTGAGGAGGCTCAGAGATCTGAGTGGCAGTGGCCTCCAGGACAAAAGTCATAGTGGGTATCTCACTCCAGGGCAGTGAGTGAGGCTTTAGGGCACTGCCAAGATCCAGCCCCCCGCCTCCTCTTCCCCAGCCCTTGTCCCTTCCTCCTGGCCAGCCCCCACCGTCTGGAGCCCTGCAGGGATGCCCCAGGCCCCAGGGCAGAAGAGGAGCCCTGCATGATGAGTCGCTCTGGGCCTGCCTGTTGCCTGTCACCCTTTAGGATGGTGTGGAGCTACGGCTGAATGCTTTCTCCTCCTTTGACCCTGTGGGCCAGTGGGAGCCAATGACACTCTTCTCCTGCGATAGGGGTGGTTGGTTGCTGTGTGCGGCCCTTTCTGGAGGGCCTCTGGCTGTGGTTGTGAGATGCATGGCAATGAATGAACTGCCTGACTCCTCTGACTCGGAGGTGGTTTGTGGAGAGCTCCCCAGGCCCACCTTCACTTGTTGATTCAGGTTGTTCTGTGGTATATCACGTTGTTGTTGCCTCGGGGTTGAGGTCAGGGACTTGGCAGATGATAAAGATGGCAGAGATGGCATGCTCCATGCTCCCATCACAGACCTCCCTTCCCAGCATGGCTCTCTGGACCCAGGCAGGAAGCTGCTGATTGGTAGAGGACTCCAACGTGGGCTGGGCAAGGCTAGGGGAGTGAGGGTTGTCTCTTGGCCCAGCGTGTCTTGGGCCCTGGGCAGGTACACCAGCTGACTGAGTTGTTCAGCGTTGCTTTTAATCTCTGTGCTTTGGCTGCTTGGCCCTGGAAAGGTTTTGGCAGAAGGAAGGCGGTAAGGGCAGGGCTTGTGTTTGTAGCATTAGGACAGGGATTGGATTCTGTCTGAGCCACTGATGGGGTCTACCCAGGTTGAGGACCTCATGGCTCTGGTTCTGCCTGCCTTGCTAGGGTGCAGCTAGTCCGGTGCAGATGAGGCTACTGATACACCTATTCAGCATCATCAGAATAGCTTATTTTACTTTCAGAGGTACCCGAAAGAGTGCCTAGGAGCTTGGGGGTCTTAGAGTTGTTCTGGGTAGAAGCAGTAGAGGTCCCCTCTGTGTACCCCTTCCTTGAAGCAGGCTGAGATGATGGTGAGCCATACGTGTGCAGTTGCATGAAGAGCCCACAGCAGGGGAGGCTGGCGGCCCCAGGGCCCTGCTGTTTCACCCCCATAGGCACTCCAGGCTCCCAGATTGACCAGCCAACCCTCTGTGGCTTCTGCCAGGGCAGTGTCTGGCATCAACTGTCCTCCACAGGTCTGTGAGCTGGCCCCTCAGGACCCCTCCAGAGGGGCATCTCCAGAGCCTGGCCTCATCTCTTCCTTGTGTTTCGTTTTTTGTAGAAGGCCAGAAATGCTCACATCAGGATCCGATTGAGAGCTCCGACTCCTACGGTGACCTCTCAGATGCCAGCGACCTGAAGACGCCGGAGAAGCAGAGTGCTAATGGCTCTTTCTCCTGTGACCTAGCAGTCCCCAAAAACAAGATGGAGTCTGACGGGGAGAAGAAGTACCCATGCCCTGAATGTGGGAGCTTCTTCCGCTCTAAGTCCTACTTGAACAAACATATCCAGAAGGTGCATGTCCGGGCCCTCGGGGGCCCTCTGGGGGACCTGGGCCCTACCCTCGGCTCACCTTTCTCTCCCCAGCAGAACATGTCTCTCCTTGAGTCCTTTGGGTTTCAGATTGTTCAGTCGGCATTTGCATCGTCTTTAGTAGATCCTGAGGTTGACCAGCAGCCCATGGGGCCTGAAGGGAAGTGAGGCAGATGCTGCGTCCCCACGGAAACAGTCATCTGGGGACTGCTGAGAAATGCTGTGAATGCGGAGGGAAGTGAAGTCTTTGGGTTCTGTAGCTGAGAGATTTTTATTTGTTCTTAACTCCCCACCCCATCCCAACTCCCTCTCCATAACCCATTCCCCCAGTGGTCTTTAGAAATAGAGTTTCATTGGATACTCTGCAGAAATATCAGGGAGACCTGGTCTGGGATGAGGGCAGAAAACACTACATAGACCTCCAAGGCCACGCCAGTCCCAGTTTCTCTAATGGACGGAAGCTGGAATTCCTGGTGCTCAGTTCTTAGGGATCCCAGTCCTAAACCCAAACCCCATGGCATGGTGGGACCTTAGTGATTTGGGGTCCCCACCCACTTCTCTCAATTCCTTATCCTCCCTTCCCATAACCCTCAAAATAGACACAGTAGGGTCTCTACCCACTCACACAACACTGATGCCCAGCTGTTTTTAAGGAAGCCTGAAGCCTACAGCATCCCACGGACCATGGGGTGAGTGTCCTCTGAGAGTCCCCAGAGCTCAGCCCTCAGCTTGGAGGGCCCCAGACCTTTCTGAGCCCTGCTTGGAGGCTAGCATTTTGCTGCTAGGACAAGCTCAGCTATTGAGGCACCCCCACCCCAAATTCCAGTTCTTACATGATTTTAACCATTCGACTTGCTGTTGGGTTTTGATTCTCTAATTATTATTATTATTGTTATTATTTTTTAGGACCAGATGTAGTGAATTGCTACTGAAAGCTATCCCAGGTGATACAGAGCTCTTTGTAAACCGCAGTCACACATTAGGGTTAGTATTAAACTTTGTTTAGATGTACTATAATTAACTTGGCTAGTTGATTGTTTGAAGTCTATGGAAGAAATAGTTTTATGCAAAATTTTAAAAAATGCCAGTCTGGTCAGGGAGGTAGGGGGTTTTAGTGCTGTTGGAACCCAGGAAAATGGAAAAGCCAGCAGATAGGGACACTGTACCTCAGTTGTGTCACACGTGAGTGAGACCAGGTTGACCTTATGATGTGAATTGATCTGATCAGACTGTATTAAAAACGTTAGTACGTTACTCTACCTGCTCCCCTGAGTCCAGTTTTTCAGCTGTGGTGGTCTGGGACCCAAAGGTGGGCAGTCTGTACCCAGCACCTGGGGTGGGGGTGAGGTCCCAGGAGAGCCCTCTTCCTCTTCATTGCACCAGGTTCACTGGGATTGATAGGTGGATGGTCCTGCTGAAGACTTAGAATGCTAGGATTCACCCATTCATTCAACAAATATTTGCTGCTTGCCTTCGCTATTTGTGTGCCAGGCACAATTTTAGACCCTGGGGATATGGTGGTGAACAAGACACCCCTGTGGAGTTTAATGAGGGGAAAAGACAATTTTGATATCAGTCCAGATAATGAGAGGTGTAAGGAGAAAAGCCGGGCAAGCTGAGGGGACAGTGACAGCAGGAGAGCCGGTAGGGTAGTCGAGAAAGGTGCGAGATGGCATTGAGACTCTGGTAGAGGAGACTTGGAGTAAGAGGGGATCCAACATGGCAACCAGCTAGGACCTAAAGAGGGACATAGGTAGGGAATCCTCATGGCCAAGAGGCTTTAAGAAGCTCAGCAACTTGCATCCAGGCATGATGGCTCACACATGTAATCCCAGCATTTTGGGAGGCTGAGGAAGGAGAATCACTTGAGCCCAGGTGTCAGAATCACTTGAGCTATGATTGTATCACTGTACTCCAGCCTGGACAATGGAGAGGCACTCTTAAGAAAAAAAAAAAAAAGCTGGGCTCGGTGGC